AGCACGGTGAAAAAAGAATAAAGAAAAGAAACCTTTGTAATAAACATTTTTAAAACATTCAGTAGATTTTTCTTTCAGTAGCATGCTGTGATTTTTAGCATAAGCTAATGTGGCCTCTCTATTTATTGCCTGACAACATAAAACTTTTCTTTATACATAAATTGTGCTACCAAGGAAGGAAAAAAGAAAAAGAGAAAGGACGCAGCCTCTTTAAGTCAAGGCTCCTGACTGTGGAGGAAAGCACACTGAGGGGCTGGAAGCCAGGGGAGCCGAGGCCCCATCAGCAGCGGCCCTGGATGCGGAGCACTGCCTTTTCCTTTACTGTTCTCCTTTCCTTGTCTTGTATTCCCAGGAGAAGCACTGCAAGAGGGATGCTCTGAGGAAATCCAGGCTGCTGGGTCTGCTGGGCCTCTTGTAGGCACAAGGTGGGAGGGGGAAGAGGGGAGGCTGTGGAGGGAGGGGAGACCCGGAGAGGTGGGGAGGAAGGAGGAGCCTGGGCAGGAGCCTGCTCTGTTGAAGTGCTGTGGTCAGAGCCTGCCCTCCTAGTGGGGACAGCAGGCCACAGGAAGCAAAGCAGGACCTCGGCCTGCTGTCCAGGGAGGAGGCTTCTCTAAGTGTGGCTTCACTGTCCTTAACACAAAGTGCCCCCTGCAGGGGTTCAAGAATGTAGTCTTACAACCTCTCTCAGCAGTGACGCAGCAGTGGCTCAGCCCTTTCTGGGTTTGCTTTGGTTTTGGATGAAGGTGAGTGTCATTTCCTTTTGAAAAGAAGGCTCTGAGATGGATGGCCAAGGCTTCCCGCCCGCGCTGCCTGTGTCTGCTCCTGGTGTTTTGAGAAGCCTCCGTTCTTCCTGCCCCTGCAGGAATCTCATGAATCACTCCCCAGCCTCACCTTCATCATCATTTGTCATTGTCATCACTGCCATCCCATCCGTCTCATTCTCAAGAGTCTGTGGAACACTGAGGCATGAGGCCCTTGGCAGGAGGCTGAGTGACAGCTCTGTACCCTCCCAGGACGGGATCTCACGTGTGGCTTTGGGGCCTGACCCCAGGACTCAGTGGGATTGCTGCTCTGGACCTGCAGACACCACTCTCAGCTCTTCTCTGCCTGGACTGGGACAGGGCTGACTTGAGAACCCTCGACATCGCCGCCTGGGGACGGGAACCCTGTTCTCCAGTGGCCCCTGGTCTTTCCTTACTTCTTTCACTCTCACTAATTTATCTTCGCAGTTCTAGGGACAATTTCCAGGTCTCCTCTGGATGGGGACAAGCACTGAAAATCCCTAATTCCCAAACGAATCTTATAGCAGGGGCATGTTCCAGGCCTCCTTCCCACCCACTAATGCCACGTCTGCTCTTTCCTTCCTCAAGTGTGTTCTGTGTCCTCTTACTTCTCCTCCAAAAGTTAACTCTCAGATTTGCTGCATACTTTTTAAAGCCTAGAATACCTGAGCCTCAGACAGAATGCATTAATTTTTCTTATATGAACTGAGAAGTCAGCTTGGATTTTGATGTAACTCTAGAGCCTGAGTTTCCCTAAACCTGGACAGTATTTGAAATGGTGGGATCCAGTGCAACCAAAGGAGAGTTCCTATGGACAGTTCAGAGGATGGCATGGGTGCCTGCCCGCCTCAGTTACCCAGACCCTGCGATCCAGGGTTCCCCGAGAACTCTTCAGGTGTTTTACCTGGACTGCTTTGCTGTTTGTTAAGAGTCTATCAAAAGAAATGAATAAACAAGGTTATCTTTAAATCCCAGCATGTACCAAGGCGATTCCTCAGCCAGTATTTGTAGGAACAGAGAATAAACTTTTACATGATTTAAATAAATAGTATAAGTAAAATAACAATTAAAAAAGATCAAAAGTCTCTAAACTTCTGATGGACTTTCAAAAATTGCAATCTTGATATCTACCTACCTACCTATCTATCTATCTATCTATCTATCTATCTATCTATCTATCTATCTATCTATCTATCTATCCTGCAGTCTGGCTGGGCACAAATAATTGGGAGGTCATGAACCACTTGTAGGTTCAAACAGGAATTACTTTATTGCCCGAACTCCAAAGGAACTCCACCAGAACTCAACGGGAACTCAACGGGAACTCTGTGAGAACTCAAAAGTAGAGGGCACCCGAGGTAGCAGGAGCCGCCTTATTGCCGGACAGCAGAGGTTTATATACACAACTGAATACACAGCTTGTTTCAATTTAGCATCATCCAGTTACAGCAACCAGTCATCATCTTAATAATTATACACAGCTTAACTTAATTATCATCATCTTAATGGCTCACTGGCGCTACCCCTCAACCACTCCTTCTGGCAAAATGCCAAGTGCCATCTTTACTCAGTTGTCGCTCTCTCTATATATATTTATTTCAATATCTTTATACACAAATTGTTTTCTTTACTACTCTTTGAATATTTCATATTTCCATTAATATGTATTGCTTAGAAAATATTGATCAACTCTTGCTGATCATATAAATGTTGTTCACGTTTGCAGTTAATGTCAAAATGAACATTTTCTGATATCCTCTAATACAACAGGAATTTAATTTTTTTTCTATTACAGTGCTATTAACAAATGAGCTGATCAATATCCTCCTTTTGTTCTTCAGTCTGAAAATTTCCACCTAAGACTGAGTACGTGTGGTGACAGACTTTCATGGGAGGCTGGGCCTGTGGTGGGGGTGACACAGGAGAGGCCACGGGGCAGCATTTTGGGCTTGGGCTCACTCCTGGGGACAGGAAGGTCTGCGGCAAGTGGCACAGCCCCTGTTCTAGCTGCTCTCACAGCCTTTGCCTGAGTGATCAGAGCAGGAGCTCCCTCCCTGCAGGGAGGACCTTCTCTGTTCACTCCCCACCATACCTCGTCCTGATGGACCCGCTTCTCTAACAAGTTGCTTTGTTAACAGACACTGTTCTATGTCCACCAAAATGGAAGAAGATATGTTATCTGTGTAGAATACAGAGTATCAGGTAACTTTCTCTAAAGAACATGCAAGCTAAAGCAAGACTCTTACTCATGAAAATAATAAAATAAACTGCTATACCTATTTACAGACATCAGTTATTCCCACAAAGAGAGTGAAAGTCTAGGACTATTGTATATAACACCTAGGAGAAGAAGAGTTTAATTTTTAAAATATATATATACACACACAGATAGTTTCAAAAATTCACTAAGAACAAAAAACAACTAAATAGATTAAATGCCATAGAGCCTGAACTGGTTATTACCTAATAAAGTAAATACAAATAGCCACTGACATTTTGAAAACATTTCAGATTTGACCAAAATCAAAGAAATGCAATTAAACAATGAAATACATATTTTACCCACCAGATGGAAAAAAATTGATACCCAGTGCTGGTCAAGTGTAGGGAAGTCAGTGTGTGGACATCAACGATGCAGTTCTGTGTTCCCACCTGGAGAGTGTCGGCTGCTCTGCGGTCCAGTTCCCGCGGGGCTTTCTGCCCATCCATGGGCATAGACAGAGGCAGGCAGACATGTGTCCACAGGACAGAGGTCTGGGGAGAGGTGTCCTCCAACCTGCCCGTGTCTCTTGACGACAGGGTTCCCGGGGGCTCTGAGTCTCCTTCCTTTGGGAAATGTGTGGGGCTGGCCGCTGCGGCAGGCAGTCGCCTTCCTGTGCTCTGTCCTTAGTCAGGGGGGCTACAGGATGGGGTGAGACCACCATCCCAGATGGTCAGCATTCTGCAGCGAGACCAGGGCTGCAAGAAACCTCCGCTCTGGGGTCCTGGGGATGGGACATGTAGCCTTGGGATGAACAGCTTTCCCAGAAACTTAAGCAGACTAAGCCGGTTTCACTGCATGGAATGTTCTCTTATCTGTTGTTTGGTGAAAGCAGGAGACTTGACTCTGTTCTTATACATAGCCCTCGTGTGAAAATTACTGTCCGAGAAACGTACACTTTTGAATATTGCTTTTACTGTGTAAGATGTGGGGGGTCAGAGGAGGAGAAAGCAGAGACAAAGGAAAAGGAAATGAATGCCCTGAAAAAGAAAAATGATACATTGTTGCCTTGTTATAGAGCTTCACATACTAAGTGTCCCCCTGGTCCCCTGCCTTCCAGTCCCTCACCCATGACACCTCTAAAATTCCCTGAGTTCCCAGGCCCAGGCATGATGTGTTCCTGGGCGGCTCCTGCTGGGTCTCCTCAGATCACTGGCCAGGTCAGCACAGTGGCCTAAGGGTGCCTCTGATGCTGCTCGGATGGGCAGATTGTCTTCACCAGAACTAGGCAGTGCCCGCAGCTGGGGGCCACAGAACTCTCATGGAGTTCACCCGGCATGATCAGTTCTGTAGGCTGCACGGTCTCCACTCCTCTACGCACTCAGTACCAGTTTTTGGACACCGACCAAGTGCAGGTGATGTGTGGGGACAGGGGATGAGCTGCAGGGCTATTCCCCAAAGATGTTCTTTTTTAACATCCTCTTTTCTTTTCCAAATTCCTGTGTATTCTGATTAGATTGGGCAGTGTTACACCATTTTCAGATGATTTCTACATAGGATGTAACCTATTTGTCCTTCTTCTAGTTTTCAATGTCACAGAATGCTTAACTCCTCTTTAGGCACACAGGAGATACAGGTGCCAAATATTAAAAAGCTTGAAATTGCACAGATCAAACATTTGAGGAATACGTCATGACGTAGACTTCTCTGTTTCCTTTTATGAGTCTGCAGGTTGACACTAACTTAAAACATCCCGGGACTGCTGGGAACTGTAGGGTTTTCATGAAAAGGCTGTTAGTGGTTTTTCCTGAACCTTTTTAAGAAGAGGAAAGAAGAGAATTTATTAATTAGAAAAAATAATCCGTGGATATGTAATGAAGTTTCTTCAAACACAGCCCTTTGGGAAATAAGAAAAGTAAACTTCATGGAGCCACTTTAACAGGACTTCTTAGTTATGTGTTTTGTTTCTAAACATTCTGTTCTTTTGGAAAGCGGGCCTTAGAATCTCTGTGCAGTGGAAATTCCATTGTGATACTACCCTTGCCAAATTTCTGGAGAGTAACATATATATAAAACTTCACTGGTGCCAAGTTCTGCTGAACTAGGAAAAAATGCAAAATTGAAAATCACATGTCTGCTAGGTCCCAGCAAAACTGGCCCATTCTCACCAGAGGACACTCCTTCCACCCGCCAGCAAGCGCTGCACCGCCTGAGAGCGGCTGGAAACTGACTTTTAAGACCATTTTGGAACTGAAAAAGTGAGTCTGTATTTTATTTCGTTTTTTAATATACTGTACACTGTACACAGAACATTTCTTGAAAAATCTGTGGGTAGGTGGGTGTTATGTGAACTATTTTTTTTCTTTATCTAAATCCTTTTATATGCTTTATTAACAGCACTCAAAATGATTGATTTTTCTTTCTTTTTTTTTTCAGGTAGATCCTATGGTGGAAAATTATCTGGCCGTGAAATTGCAAGAAGTTAGCACAAAGAAAAGAAAGTATAAAGGAAGACAGGGTGGAAGGGGCTGTTTAACTTTCAGATCTAATCAAAGTCCTGATGAGTGTTGGCTGAGGCCACAGGTCCCCAGGCAAGACCTCCGCTGCGGAGAAGTCCTGCTCCAGGGCCTGTCCAGGCAGCTCCGCCCAGGGCTGCGGCAGGGGTCATCTGTCCAGGACTTGAGGGACAAAAACCCCTGTGTTCTGAGTGACTGTTTGAACTGAATTTCTCTCCCTTTTTCTTCCTGGAGGAAAATCCGTTGACCCTGTCTTAACCTCAGCTTCCATTCTTGGACAGAGTGTGAGTTAGAACAGGAAACTCAAAGAAGCTGTTTCCATGGTCTCAGGACAAAATCGTGTGTGTGTGTGTGTGTGTGTGTGCGCGCGCACATGTATTAAGATCTGAGGTGGAAAGCATAAAAAAATTAGAACAAAGAAAAATTCTGAAGTAGAGAAAGCAGAGCGTCCTGGTGGACGAGGACACCTCTGTCCACTGGGTGCTTTGGCTCCCACCCCCCTCACTGCCCACCTTCCTGCTGAACCAAGGGTTTGCTCCGAGATGCTTATCAACAAGACTCACATCCAGCTCCTCGCAGACGGAGGCTGCTTCCCTCCCCGAGTCTAAACAGAAAAGGCAAGGATCCCCTGGGCTTCAGGCTGCTAAGGGAAGAGCTGGATCCCATGGATGGCTCCGCACAGTTACCTCTGCCAGGGAGAGCCCGAATGTCAGTTTAAAATATCTTTTAAAATCAATTGTCTTGACTGTTTTGTGTCTTATGCTAAAATGGACTTTCAAATGGGCCAAAAATTGTCTCTGTGTTCAGACTGTGTGTATTCTATGGACCGTTAGGCTTTTGGGGGTGTATGTTGGGTTTTCAATACCATACATAAAAAAAAGAGAAAGTGATTTTTAATAAAAAAATTACACATTTAAAATCATATAAGAAATTAATTAGGATATTATACTATGATTATACTGCAGCAATAGTTAAATTGAGAGACATACTATTCATGATATTATAATACAAATAATGTCTCATTCCTGATTAATCATACCTCCAATGCATATGTTTTTGGTATTTATTAATATGTAGATTTTATTTGTTTTGTTAAAACGAAATCCGAGGGATAATTTGTATAATGGTTGAAAAAAATATTCAAAATATCTCAACATGCAGTTCTTTTCTGTCATTTTCTTGTTGCTTTTTAGAAAAGAGATATTTCCCAAAGTCTGACTGCTGAGTCTGATCCCCTGGGTTAATAGGCAAATTTAAAAACGCCCTAGTTTTGTTTCCTGAGCAGGTAGGTGAGGTGGTGCTTGAGGCCACCCCTGTCCCCTCGGTTCTGAGACTCAGGAACTCACACAGGAAGCCCTGAGGCTGGGCTCTCCCTGGGCAGCTGGGAAGCTGTTCTCCGGCTCTGCAGAGACATTGCACCGCTCTGCTGGCTCAAGCTGTCAGTGAGCCAGTGGCTCCTAATGGCATCATCCCGGAGCGACCTCTTCCCCTGAGTGTTGTGGGGTGCAGGCCACTGGAGCAGGTAGGGGAACATAGAGACGGGCTTGAAGTCATTCACAACCAGCTGCGACACTCAGAAGTCAGCATCCCGACATCTGCTTCGCTGTTTCTGCACACTGCATTAGACGACTGGCATGCCCATCAGCACTGCAAGACTACACGTGGAAATGTGACGGGAACATGGCAACATAGGCTGCACTATGCCTAATGTTAATCAGTACGAGGAATTGATTGATTGCAGTACTGGGGATCGATCCTGGGGCCTTACACATGTTAGGCAAGTGCTCTACCACTGAGCTACAACCCCAGCCCTTTCTTTCAGAATTTTATTTTAAGAGAGGATCTCCTTACGCAAAGTTGCTGAGGCCGGCCTCCAATTTGCCATCCTCCTGCCTGAGGCTCTCCCGAGTAGCTGGGATGATAGGCGTATGCACTGCACCCAGCTTTTTCCTGGTTTTAATGAGTTGAGAAGTGTAGTTTTAGACATCATTTAACAGCTTGATATTTTGCAGAGCACTTGCAATAGAATTGTTAAGGTAAGTCTCTCGGAAATCTCAAGAGTGATCACACAGGACACGTCCAAGCCGCGTGATGGATACAACGGGTAGAACTAAGATTGCTATAAAAACGACTCCATGAATCTTCAGGGAAAGTTGTAAGCCATCGTGAAATCTTCAGGAAAGGTTAGAAGGAAACCACATCTTACTTACTTTGCTCTGATAAGACTGCTACAGTGTTGTCTACAGACTTAAAGAAACATTTTAAAAGTCTGTGGGTCAATGAACAGTTAAGGCAAGGAGAAGGGCTGAATTAGTAGACACAACTCAGGCCATCGATATGAACAGCCAGGCCTCACAGAAAACAGGATGCGTTTTCCAGGACAGAAATAGCCAGACAGTGGGCACATCCTGTTCAATGGGGCGCGTGTGCCAACTGCAGACAAAAGTCCCCTTCACTTGTGTCTAAATCTGACTTATTTCTGGGAGAATGACTGAGGGAAGAAATAATTGATAAACTAAGTATCTAATGTATAAACATATCACCGAAAGCGCTTCTGCTTCTTCATTTATCAGAAATGACCAGGGAAGACAAGGACTAAGCTCCGGTTGTTTACAGTGGATTTAAAATTATACAGTCAGAGGAAACAAAGTATGTTCTTGGAATACTCTGTTTAAAACTTTTCAATGAGGATTCCAGAGAACCGTAATGTTAAACAGATGTATCACATTTCAGACTTAACACAGGAAGGAATGATAATCATGCATATATGTAGAACATTTTGTTTTAATATTTATTGTTTTCCCAATAAAAATGTGAAGATAAAGCCCTGCTGCATGCTATGTTTGAGACAAAGGACTGGGTAGCAGTTTATGACACTATAAATCTTGAGTTCTGGTTAAATCATTCAGTTCAATGGTTTTGAACACTGTCTTTTCAGAATCACTTTGTAAGTGACAATCTCTCATAAAATTTCTTCGTGAATCGGACTGAGAGCTGATGTTTATTGAGCCTCCCTTTGATCGTCAAGTTCTTCCCGTGGAGTCGCGCAGCCTGTAGGCCTCTGTTTTGACATTATTTCTGAATTAACAAATCTATGCTGCAATTTATAGCTTTGCAATGTCAACAAGGAACGCTGTGTTTGCAGGTCCCTCCCCAGTGTCCTGTTGACAGGCCACTGCCATCAGCGCAACAGCGTCAGGAGGGGGGACCTTTGGGGAGGACGGGTGGCCAGGACTCTGCTCTCATGAATGGGCCAAAGGCGTGGAGGGGGCCACTCCTGAAGAATCTCTGGGTTTGTCTTCATTCCCTGCCTCTTGAGTGCTTGCTTGCTCTCTGTCACCATGTGGCGAGAAGGCCCTTGTCTGATGTCGAGGAAACACGGGCAGCATGCTCTTAGTCTTTCCAGGCTCTAGATCCTGAGTCCTAGAGAACTTCCATTGTTTATAAAGGACCCCGTCTGCGGTCCTCTGCTACAGCAACAGCAAACCGACCAGGATGCAGGATGAGCGTGGAGTGGCAGATACTCCTGGGAAATCCCGATTTTATTTCCTTTGGATTTATAGTCAGAAGCAAGACTTTTGGATCATATGGTCATTCTATTTTTAATTTTGGGAGGAAACTGCATACTGCCTTCCATAGCAGCTGCACTATTTCACAACCATGAAAATATATACTAACCCAATTTTCCCCAAGTTGTTTTAAGGAATTATCACATTTGCCCATGCTTGGCTCTAAGATTTGTTCAGGCATTGAATGAGCAGATACAACAGCCTTGACTCAGTGACGGGGAAAATGCCCTTTTCCCCAAATTGCCAAATTTTTAATAATTTTAATATAGTCCCTGTATTAGCCTTCTCTCAAGTAACAGAACCCATATGGGGGAGAGGGAGGGAGATGGGTCTATCATGGGAACTGGGATTATGGAAGCCGAGAAAGCTCACAGTACACCACCTGCACCTGGAAAACCAGGGGTCCGTCAGGTAAGTCCAAAGACTCATGGACCAAGAGGCCCAGTGTTGGGGGCAGGGGATGGACGTCCCAGGCCGAGAAGAGAGTCAGCCTTCCTCTGCCTGTGAGAGCGGGCCCTCAGTCCTGGTCTACGGATCCAAACGCCACCTCTTCTGGACAGCACCCAAGACACACTCCAAGACGTCTTCCAGCACCTGGCCCCCACACCTCCCCAGGCGGACACATGCAGTGACGTCACAGTCAGACTCCTCGAGTGGAGGCTTGTCCAGAGGGACCCAGTGAGGGTGGCCGGCCTCGTGAGTAGGAGAGAGTGGCCGAGCCAGCGTCAGAGTAGCAAGGAGCTCCGCCGTGTC